TCCTAAATCCTTTCGTCATTCTTTTAATTATCACATCTTCTCACTTGCTTATTTTCGCCTCCTCAAGAACTATGCCTTGTTGCACGGATTTAGTGAGACAAGTTGATGACATTTTCAGGAATTAAAGTTAAATGGATTAACTCCGGTGGCACCATGCTCTTGCATATTTCGCTATTCCGCATTCATGCATCTTGGTTTGTTTCCCAAATAAGTAAAACGGACAATGTGAAAATTTTCTTTAACCTGACAGAGGAAATATGCAAATGAATGACGATATTGATATGCTTCGGCGAATTTTGGCGGAAACTGGATACGCTAAAGCTTTACTAACAGATATAACCAAGGGAGGGCTGAGTAAATGAATAAAAAGCCTGCACTTCTCATAATGACAAACAAAAGGATACTATAATGAAACAGTTGATACAGAGGAATCAGAATACACCTTAAAATATGTACTCGTGGGCCAGATGGGTGATGCTGCCTCAAAAGACGATCAATTCTAAGCATTCTATTCTACCCGAAACGAAGGGAAATGTCTCGTCTTTCTTAATCTGTACTTCGTATTAGAGCCAAACGGAAATTAGCCTTTGTCTTGTGGTGAGATCGATCTACGAATCCTTTTATCATCCTCTTTGATGCGAAATGAATTTCTCCACAATAGGAATTTTATTCAGGAAATTTATTAAAACACTCCTTATTATATTATATTATTAATGCGTCATGCCCTGCTATTTTGTGGCCCCTATTCTTTTCTTTCTAATTTTTCTTCATGACAAATTTCTTTTATTACATAACTCATGCATTGTTTTGGCATTAAAACTTTTCTATTACTATTCAAGTCTTATCATAACAGATAAGCTATATTTTTCTCAATACGTCGCTTGACCTTAGACTTAGTTTTCCTCTATCTTACATACTTTGTACTCTTTGTGTATGGTATGATACTTCATTATAAACCTTCAATTTTAAGAGACGATCCATTAGTGGCACACTGATTTCTGGATTCTTTTTTATTTGGCGCTTGCTTTTTCTGACCCTCCGTTTTGCAGAAGGTGCATGCTTTCCTACTCTCCGAAGTATTGATTCTGGCTATTCCCATCCCCACATCGTCTGTGCTAACTGCAAGGAATTCTGGCTCGTTCTCGACTACCTCCAGTTCATTGCTACCCTCGTCCACTTCTGGTCTGCTCTGCCTCAAGCATCATGGCCCCTCTTTTTACCTTGGTTCAGGTATAACGACCAATGCTATTCCAGGACCGACTACCTGTCATGGCACGTTGTTAAAAAAGCCCACCACGAAGCCATCTAATGCCTCAATCTCCACTCAAGTCACTGATGAACCCATTTCCTTTGCAGACCTCGAAATCCTCTCATCGGCCCCCAATATTAGTATTGCCAATGCAAATTTAACTTCTTCATGTAACAGCTATCCTGCTTTATCCAACTTGGCTGCAAAAATGGACCCACTCTGCCTCTTGCATGATTCTCTTAACAATCAGTTAATCAACCATCCAGAAGCCGACTTTACTGGCTTTTCTGCGAACTCGCTAACGGCTGGGCCATCAGAATTGTGCAAAAAAGCTTCGTCAAAGCCATCGCTGCGCCGACTTGCTTGGTCACGAAAAGCTTGGTTCCAGAGGTTGAATGATGATCATAGTTACAATACAACAACTACCGCCTTATTCCCCGTCACTTCGCCAAATTCTTCTCGCTGGTCCTTACGGCCGTCTCCTGCCAACCCCTTTGAGACAGGCGAGTTCATTCCTGTAAACCAAACTCCATTTTCGACACATTTCGGATGCAGAGCCTCAGTTGGATGGCGCCGAGCTCGGGTTTGGCGAAAAAATCTTGTATCTGGTGACATCGATAATCTGGCTCGGACCGACTTCAACGACCTTACCCGAATCCGTTCTTTTGGCCTACGGACTAGGCCCACATTCACGAGCCCCTTCATTCTCGGGATGCCTCAGCCAACCTGGGGAAGCACAGCAGTTGACCTTGGTAGACTTAGAGGCACGGACACTATGGATCCACAAAATATCTGCACTTCACGTGCTTTCAGTGCCGATAATCCTGAGTTGGAGTTTCCTGTAGCTGATTTGTCTCCAGTTGCTGGTCGACTTTGCCTCTCTGACGGGCCTTCCTCTTTTCTTAAATCGACTTCTTTTGCCGGTAGCATTTTGGAAAAAACTGTTGATGAACGTCCTTGCCCTATATTCTCTACTATGCCCTTCGATGAGCCAGCCCAATGCGTCTCTGCCTCTGTAAGATCAACTTACCCGCAGCCTCTGCTGCAATGTCAGCAACTGCTTTACACACAACCCCATGATTCTCATTACTGTGTTCCAGACAAATGCAGACATCTTAACGTCTCACATTCATCACTCTCTTCTCATCCCCACTCTTCTCCCATTCCAACCCACCTCCCATCCTCTACTTCATTATCCTCGTATTCCTCAGTAGCATCTGCTGTTTCTGGTGCTTTTGAAGGTTCCTGTTGGTCTACAATCTCAACCACTTCTACTGGTCATATCTTTTTTTCTCCGGCGAAATTTTTGGTATCCGACTGCAAGATGGCACCCAATTCACGAACCGTCTTTTCTACAATGACATCGCCAATACCTAGTACTAAAACTCAAGCGGTCACCGCTGGGTCTACTTCGCCAATCGCATCTGTTTGTTTTGGAGGCTTGATTGACAGTAATCAGATCTCAAGCAGTTCTTCGGCTTCCTGTAAACCTAATTCTCCATCCTCCTCTGTAGTTAGAATAAATAATTCCCACACCCGACTGAGACGCCGATGTCAGGCTACTCTGAAGGTTCCTTCATCAATCGAGACTAGTATCGTCGTCACCACCAAATCTTCTCCATCCTCCGACTTAGACTCTAAAATTCCCTTCGCACATCGACGCTGGTCGATGTTGGAAAGGTCGAACGGCTTTGATAGTGACCAGCGTCAAAATTGTGATATTGAAGTTTCGCTGACCGAGGATGATCAGGTATGTGTCCTTACTTTAACAAACGCATAAAAGACATTTTTTTATAGTTAGATGAATAAAAGCTGATCTCTTAAGAATCACTTAATAATTTATTGTGGCTAGAATTGTTTTTTCCACGGAAATCTAGTTTAAATGGATTCGTGAATTGGCCTCACCGAAAACCAAACGATCATCCCCTTGTAGTGGATAATGTTTAATTTTGTGAATGAGACCTGGGATTACCGTAATGCGAACCCGATCATTCGGTGATGAGCTTTTGCCTGTCATGCGATAGACATCTTTAGTGGGGAACGATCATTTGTGAAAAAAAGCACACCAAATACACTTAATCAAATAAAGATGGCTGGCTGAAAGCAAATTTACTCATCTATGTTTCAGGACTTAATAAGGCATCCTATTATTTTCGCTAGGAACTGTACTAGTATTCTAAGATGATGAACAACTGGTATTTAAATTCTCTAACTATGCTCAGAACACCACTGAATTTCACTTATCCTTCACTCTCAAAATGCATTATTCTACTGGTTGAGATCAGATTTGTCGTTTAGAGATTCTTACACCTAAGCAGTATTTAATTAATCGAAGATATGAAGACCAAGATGGTCTGGCCCCCGGTATGGTCGCAGTCTCCTTTTGATGTATAGAAATGGGTTAAACTCGTCGCAACTTAGTCTTGTTGTCAGGGGGACTTAGTAGACCGCACCTAGTACGAAGTCCTCTGCCCTAGTAGTTATCATAATCCTTAGCATCAGACAGTGGACTTGGTACATTCCCAAATGTTTCGCCGGCATCGTAGTCGGCGTCATCATTGAATGCTGCCATTCTGCGCACCAAGATACGAATCGGTCAAAGAGACAAACGTTCTGGCGAAAACGGTTACACTATCACTCGTCTTTCTATCCTGGACTATCTATCTACTCTTAACCCTCTTATCAAACTCCCACCCTATCATAACTTCTAACTTGTTTACATTCAATACCTCAAAATGTGCCCTTTTGTGGCAAATCCAGTATGGTCTCATCACATCTGCTATTCATCCTGACCCACTCTCTTTCGATTGCCTAATCCGTCTCGGGCATTCAATCCTGATCCCCTTCATGGTCCCGTAGATCCTTTCCTTATTTTTATGGTTGACCGATTTCACTAGGTTCCAGTCCCAGTGTGCGTTTCACTCCAGTAGCTATTTCTTAAGGCCCTAGAAGCGCGTACACTGACGCCTAGACTGTGATTCTCATGCTTGTAGATATCGAGCATTGCCTTCACTAGTCGTCTACTTGATTAAACACGTGCAACCTGAGCAAACTGTGGACGCCTATCTATGGTCGCCTGCAGCAGCTTAAGTAGATTTCTGGAACATTTTGACCATAGCGTCGAATTTCTGTTACGGTTTGCTAATTCGTATGCTAACTTTTTCTCCCTGCTTCGCCAATATATTTCTTTTTACACATGCTGCATGATAAACAGTAATTTTTGAACAATCCAATTTGTCTACCTATTTATATTGAGTCGGTAGACTTATGAAAAGTGTTGATTTTTCTTTCATGATCACCCGAATATTCAATTTCTTCAATATTAGCCGTAGTTTTGAGTTAGTTCGCAGATGATTAGGCATATGCACTATTATGAATTCTTTTCCGTCCTTACTGTTATTTAATAGTCCCCATTTTGCCATTGGCTTTTCACGGCCCGTATGTTTCTTTGTATTAGTTCGCTTGGGTAGCCGTTGCCGATGGATATCTTAATCAATTTGTCCAACTCATCGTCCCATAATTCCACATCAGTTAAACACAGGCCTCGGATGATCATGCTAGTTATTATTCCTATCTTTAGCCTGTAATTGTGATGGGACTGAAAAACGAGTATTATCCTATCATAAGACTTCTTATTGAGCATCCCATTAGGGCGAATCACCTTAATATCCAGGAGTGGTAACTGCTCTCCTTCCTCTACTTCCATCGTAAATTTACTTTTTT